AAAAAAACTGAGGAGCCATTTGGGAGCCGAAAGAGCCGGCTCTTTTTAGTGAGCCGAGCCAAAAGAACCGGCTCTCTAAACATCAGCTGAGCAACGCTGTCTTGTGTGGTGATCGAGGGGAGGTCGAGTTCGAGACAGTGAGTGAGTGGAAAGAAAGCCACCAGGTCTTTTACTCGTCTCATTTTGGAGCAAATAGTCCTACCTTTGTTATATTTTCTCATATACTGTACCTGTACTGTATGCCGCAGTTTTTGGACAATATATTGTTGCACTTTGTTGCTTGTGTTGTCACCAATGTATGTTGTTAACATACCGTACTTGGACGTTCATACCGGACATATACCATAGTTATCTCACTGTTCTCATGAAAAAAAGTATAGTAATACTTGAATGCTTTTGTTCTGTTGATGTTTGGTATGGATTGTCAACATATACGTTTTTTTATATGTACCATATCTTGTGCTGACCCGGCCCACCTGTCAAATTTAGAAATCAATATGGCCCCCGAGCTAAAAAGTTTGCCCACCCCTGGACTAGACTATGGCGAGGAACTAATTTGGCTGCACTAATCGAGAGGGAGTGGTCCCAAGGACAAACGAGGGATTGGGGCTGACAAACAACAAGACAATACACACAAAATAGCCAGCCCAAGGTACTGACTCAACAAAAACCACAAGACACTCCCCCCTCTTACCTGAAAGCAACTGAGTCCATTTAAATAGTAATGGTTAATCTTTGCAGGTGGCGGCACACCTGAAACTAGTTGCTAATTGGGTCACTTTTCCCTGCACTGATTGGTCGGCTAAGTTGTGAACAAGGGCCACCAATCAGCAAAAAGCAAGAGAAGAGCTACTGCACACATGCAAAGAGTAACCCTAACACAAAATAAATAACTAAATAAATGGCCTTGAAATAATGTGAATCGTAACACTATATTATACAATAATTTTTAGTCCATTCTTGTTGTAAGCTTCCCATTGATTCACTCAATGTACAAAAAAAAAAAAAAAAAGAATAAAATTGGACTGATAGCAAAATGTAATGAAATCAAAATACATTTACAAACGTTGGCTTTTAGTTAGGAATTTTAAAAATATATATTTTTGCACTTTTTTCTGACATGTTAAGGACCAAACCAGGAACTGAATTTCCATTTGTTTATGGCCTGTTTTTGAATAATGGAATGCAAATTAAAACTTACTGTTATCCAGTTCATAGATTACCTGACAAAATAATTTTGTATTTAGGACACAGGTTAACCAGTTGAGTACATTTCCAAAGCCCATATGGGTATTGTACCTTTCCCATTCTTGCAAATGGATACCGTTTCAGACTTACTTTTAAAGCTTGCAGCTTGTTCTCTGTTGTGTCGTCTTTCTCCATAAGATCTGTCAGCTCCTTGGTTTTTGACAGGAGCCATAACTGAAATTGGTGAACACTGCCTTGGTAAGTCTGGTGCTCCTCAGCTATCGCTTGAAGCAGTGACAGACGATCCTAGAATAGCAACAGTCACACGTTCACTCTCATATGGTTTGGCACATCCTGTTTATATCATATGAATTTGTAAACTTACTACAGCAGAGGTACTCAAATATAAATCTTAAAGGACCACAAATACATTTTTCAATGTGTTAAAGGTCCATTTATCAAATTTGGACAGGTTACAAGAAATAATATGGGGAAAAAAACTCATTTTAACTTTTATCTTTAAATCACTTCAACATACTTTGATAGACTGCCTTTTATATGAGGTCAATTTTCACTTTGATTTATTTATCCATTCAAGTTTGTGTGTGGGACTCCGCCAAGGCTGCCCTTTGTCACAGATTCTGTTCATAACCTTTATGGACAGAATTTCTAGGCGGAGCCAAGGCATTGAGAGGGTCTGGTTTAGTGGGCTTAGTATTACGTCTCTGCTTTTTGCAGATGATGTGGTGCTGTTGGCCTTGTAAAGCTGGGATCTCCAATTCTCACTGGAGTGGTCCGCAGCCGAGTGTGAGGCAGCCGGGATGAAAATCAGCCCCTCTAAATCTGAAACACTCGTCGTCAGTGGGAAAACAGTGGAGTGCCCTCTCCGGGCCAGGGATGAGATCTTTTCTCAAGTGGAGGAGTTTAAGTATCTTGGGGTCTTTTTCACAAGTGAGGGTAGGAGGGTAGGAGGGAGCGAAAGATCAAAAGACGGATCGGTGCAGCGTCTGCGGTGATGCGGACCTTTGTATCGGTCATGGTGAAGAAGGATTTGAGCCAAAGGGCAAAGGTCTCAATTTACCGGTCGATCTACGTTCCTACCCTCACCTATGGTCACGAGCGGTGTGTCGTGAGCGAAAGAACGAGATCCCAGATATAATCTTCCTCCGCAGGGTGTCTGGACAATTAGAGATAAGGTGAGAAGCTCGGTCATCCAGGAGGGGCTCAGACTTAAGCTGCTTCTCCTCCACTACTAGAAATCTAGATGAGGTGGCTTGGGTATCTGGTTAGGATAACATTCTCCTAACCTTGTCTGCTCTGCTGTCAAGTTGCATGCAGCGTTGTTAGCCACAAGAGGTAGTTGGAGTTAATATCCATGACTGCCTGCCTGCCTGGACGGAGTTAAACAAACCTTTCAGCCAGTTGGCAGCGCTACAACTACGATAAAAATAAGTTTGTAGGCCAAGACTTCGCATTGCTTTCCAAATGGGTCTGCTTTGTTAAAAATATCTACAGGGTGTTTTTTTATACTGAATAATCAACTAACAAAATATTGATGATTTTTTTCCAGACCTGATGTGTGTGCAAAGATGTTTATAGTCTTAAAATCCGTGTTTTATTGGCGAACTGCGCGTTGCCACAGCAATAGCGTTTTTCGAGGATTCAAACTTTGTGTTGCAATGTTATACAGTAAGCACTCTTCCGAGGTGAGGTAAATCTTATTCATTCCCTCAGTGTAAAGCATCAAAGAATTAAAAACACAAAAAACAATATCACGCAGATCTGGTTTACCAACTCTGAGAGAAAAAAAAAAATCAGACAAAAAAAATAATAAAAAATACATTCACTTTAGCTTTTCTGACAAATTTGATATTAAAATGCACAAAAATGACATTTCTAAACATCACTAGGTGGTGCTTTATGCACAACAAAATATTATTGAATAGATGTCTTCAGGACACGACTATTTTTTGAAGCACGTGCAAGAGAGAAAAGTATGAAAAGTAATGGACAAAAACGGGCCATAATTAGACATTCAATTTGCAATTTTGTTTTACACTCTAGGTGGTGCTACAGAGCCATTTTTTTTTCAGCATTTGTGACAACTTTGAAAAGATAGTAATTTTCACCAGGGCCAATGAGTGTGCAAAGTTTGGGGAGTTTTTGTGCATATTTGCATGCCCCCAACAATAATTTCTACAAAAACAATTGGGTGCTCACAGCATTTGCTACTCTGCCCCTAATTAATTGTCAGTCAACAGTGTCATACGATTTACCTTACCTCAACCTTGTCCCTGATGTCATTGTAGGCCTGCTGCAGTTTCTCCTGTACTTGGGGCTCCACACTGGGGTCTTGAGTTCTGTTGTGCAGCACAGCAGCTTCGTCCAGCAGCCTCTCCAGTAGAGCTTCCTGGCCATGGACATCACTCACCACCACTCTCTGTTGGTCCACTTTCCACAGCTTTTCCTTCAATCCCAGTTGCAACTCCACACCAATGTCCAAATCACGCTGCTGCCTCATCAGCCACAACAAAAACTCCTGCTGGGCCTTCAAATACTCACTCCAGTGGAGCCACACCCACTCAATCCGACTGAGAAAGGAGTTCAAAAATATGAGCAAGATTCAAGTTAGACAATGGCATATACAGACAGTCTTAGTTAACAGTACATATCATTGATATACTGTACATATGAATATGAACAACACAATGGAACATGGAGCTAGCTGATCCTCTCCATTGGAACGTGGAATTTTCATGTTTTCCACATGCTTGCAACTTTTTCCGGGTACTCTGGTTTCCTTGGCAAAGCCACAAAACACTCAAAATTCTTCTCAAGATTACTGATAAGTGTGTGTGTGTGTGTGTGTGTGTGTGTGTGTGTATATACAGTGATCCCTCGCTATTTCGCGGTTTGTTTATCGCGGGTTCAGTGCATCGCGGATTTTTTCAAACATCTAAAAAAAATAAAAAAAAAAAAATCTTTTTTTTTTTTACATATACATCGAGTACAGTACTGTATATGTTGCTCTATGTGACTCGCTGTTGTTTTGCTGACTTTCGCAGCTTCTCGCGGACCGTTTGCGGACTTAAAAAAAAAATATATATATATATATATATATATTTGTTTTATGTTAATTGGTCGCTACTTCGCAGATTTTCGTTTATTGCGGGTGGTTTTGGTCCCCATTAACCCCGATAAACAAGGGATTACTGTATACATATATATAAAATATCACCTGCATTCGCCCCTTTCTCTCGTCCTCAGCAGCTTAAACACTGATTCTTGGCTTTATCACCTCACGACTCGACTACTACAATAGCATCCTCTACGGCAGGGGTCGGGAACCTATGGCTCGCGAGCCATATATGGCTCTTTTGATAATTGCATTTGGCTCGCAGATAAAACAAAATATTCTTGCTTGTTGAATCCATCCATCGATTTCTTACTGCTCATTTCCTGTTCGGGGCTGCAGTTGGCTCAAGGAGCAATTTTGATTGGATAATACTGGCCTACGATGCCGTTGATGCGGAAACAGGTAACCGCCCCGTTTTGAATCAGCCCGCTTGGTCATTAGCTCAAAGTTAATCCTAAACGAATAAAATGGCGAAAAGAAAAAAAGATGACGAGAATGGTCGACTTCAGGACGAATGGACCGAAGGATTCGCCTTTGTGGACAGAACGGGTTCTGCGGTGTGTCTGATTTGCAATGACAAAATACCATCGATGAAATGGTCGAATGCAAAGCGGCATTTTGACACGCGTCAGGCTACGTTGCTACGTTCGCATCAAAAAACCCTGCAAGAGACAGCGGAAAGGAAGCGTGCAAGCTACTGAGCAGGGTGCAAGCTTGCCAGCAGCAACTCCGCTTATGGACCCGGCAAGCTGACTATAATTCCGCTATTTTTGCTGGATTTTTAGCAATAGTGAGGAACAGAAAACCAGTCACATTAATGGTGAGTATTATCACTAAATTATTTAAAAGGCTTATACTGACATTTTGTTGAATTCACTTTTAAAATACAGTTTTATATACATGTCTCTATCCTCTGGTGAAAGGACACTTTCATTCTCTCCTCTTTCATCTCAGACTGCTTTAAACAACAAAGCGTATGAGGGAAAAGTGGTTAGGGTTGCACAACTGTCCGTGTTTTATGTTAAGTGTTGTGTTTATTATTTTAGTTTATGTTAACTGTTTTGTTAAGCGCTTTGTTACAGCTGCTGCTGTTGTGAAAACGCTATATAAATCAGGATGTATTGTATGCGTGTGTGTGTGTGTATATATATATATATATATAATATATATACACACACACACACACAGTCACACCTCGGTTTTCGAACGTCTCTGGTATATATATATATATATATATATATATATGGCTCTCACTGAAATACATTTCCAAATATTTTGCTTTAAATGGCTCTCTTAGTCAAAAAGGTTCCCGACCCCTGCGCTCCGGCTTGCCCACCAAAACCCACAACACGCTGATAGTCATCCAAAATTCTGCTGCCCGTCTCCTCACCCGCTCCCACACCAGAGGCCACATCACCCGAGTCCTCCAACACCGAGACTGGCTCCCTATCCAACAACGACTCCAGTTTAAAATTCTTCTCATCACTTTCAAGGCCTTTCCACAACTTCTCCCTCTCCTACCTCACTGACCTCCTTCATCATCACACCACCACCTGCAATCTTAGATCTGGCAATGCCAACCTCCTCACCCCTCCCATCCGAACCAAGCACCGGACCTGGGGAGATGAAGTCTTCTCTATCGCCGTCCCCTTCCTCTGGAACTCTTTCCCTCATCACCTCAGACACAGTCACACACTCCCCGTCTTTTAAAATGACACTAAAAACCCACATGTTTAGTTCTGCTATAAACCTGTAATGACACAATCTATTGTTTAACATAATCTCTCTATTTTACTCATTGACCCATATAGTTTTTCATGTTACGATGGCTTATTTTTTGATGTCATTACATGCCTAAGTTGTTCTGTTTTTTTTTTTGTTTGGGTTTTTTTCTTAGGGCGGGGAGGATGGTGTTTTAACTTTGTAAAGTGCCTTTGGGTGTTTTTTAAAGCGCTACACAAATGAAAAGTGACATTGTGATTATTATTATTCACAGTATATTCACAAAAGCAAACAGTTTTAAGTGTGATGCAGCCTGGCGTACATTTTATGGCAGTTATGAAGTCGGAGCAAATGGGGCAGAGCACCACACAGAAAGACCCAAGATCAGTGAAGAAACTCAACGTGAAAAAATTGTTATGAAAATGCATGTCAGAAGTGTTATTTTATCATACATCTTATTCATCCTGTTCTGATTTCTACGGTACTTTTGACCATATAGTGGAGCCAAAAAAAAATTGGCAAGAATAGAGCACCTGTGGCAGTGAATGATGTAGGTACAGGTTTCCTCCCAACAGCTTTTCAAGTCTTTGAGCTTAGCCTGGATGTGACTCTTCAGTTGTTCATCTCCTATCTCCAGGAGATGCTCAGATGCGACCAGTGCCATGTCCATCTTCACACGACCTTCATGCTCCGATTGGTGGATTTTCTTGAAAATGAAAATACAAAACAATCCACAGTCAACTCGTTACCTCTGCGTCCCGCGTCCTAGACGCATAATTTTCCCGCGGGACGCATGTTTTTTTGGGACGCAAGGAAATTTCTCAGTCAAAACAAAACAAAAAAATCTACGGTACAACTTTTTTTCCAGCAACACAGTGTCGCAGTTTGACAATTGCCGTCATTGTTGTTTTGATCTGGCGTTAAGTAATCTCGCGTGACGAGATTTCCTTTCTCGCGAGACGAGATTGGCGAGATCGGCGTTCAACCTCGCGGAAAGCAGACGATTGCCAAGTTGTGTAACGTTAAAACAAGCGTTGCGAACAAGTGTTGCGACAGTTTATTGCGGAGATATCACAGAGGAAGCAGCTAAAGTTGGATAGTTTTTTGAGATTATAAATTGACTTTGAGAAAGCCTTGCATCATTGGAAGCAGAGTAAAGAGAAGAGAATTTGTGAACTCAAAGACTGAACCATGGGATGAAATCAGAGCCTATTTCTAAGCAAATCTTGTATGCCTGAATTAATTACATTCTTGCAGCATTTGTTTGTAAGAAAAAAACCTATTATCAATGTATATTGTTGTTGTTTGTGTTATTATCATATGCAATTGAATAAGTCGACCATTTCAGAATTCGAAATTTGGGACTCTCTAAATGCATAATGGGACTCATACTTTTCTGATCAGCGAGTCCCTGGGACTCGCTGGGGTTAAACTGTAAAATTATCACTGAATCCACCTTCAGTTATACAGCGCTGTTACAACAGCTGCAGCTATAACAAAGCACTTCACAGAACTTTGAACATAAAATAACAATCATACAACAGAACACAACCAAAATCCTCCAGGACAAGTGGCATTATGGAGTTGGCTGCTCAAAAAAGGGCTGGCGATAAGTTAAAGTACTGTAGTACCTGAACACCGAACATTGGTGCCAGTCTTAGAATTTTAAGTTCAATTCAAAATTTTATGGTGAGTCATTGTAGTGAGGCTCGCAGTGGGGTTATATTGTCTCTTCTTGTCCAAGTTAATGTGGAGAATATGTAGTTATTATACCGTCGTGGCCTGGACGGGGCGTGGCCTGGACGGGGCGTGGCCTGGACGGGGGCATGGTTACTTACAAAAGTGGCACTAAACATGCTGAAGATGAAGTGTATTGAATTTACACACTATTTGAAACTTGAACAGAAAAAAATCCCAAGATTGCCACTATTCTTTCAAGTGAAAATTTGTGCAATTTTGCTTATGCATTCCAGGTGAGCACCAATATGTAACTCCAAATTTGCTGCTCAAAATCAAAATTAAAAAAGGAAACACATTCCCTGCCATATTTAAGATTTGTTCATTAGTTGTATTCATAAAGTGTTGTGTAAATGTGATAAAAAGCTGTTGATTCTTACCTCATACAGTGATAGTGAAGTCCCACACGGTTTACTATATATGGGTTATGAATGTATTTTATTATATAAAGTGGATGTCTATTTACAGTATATACAACAATATA